AGGCATAAATCAGGACAGGTAATACTCTGATAATTTTAAAAAAGTATCAAACTGCTGGCAATTGAGTATGAAGGAAGTCTTATTTTTATAGTAGTTGTTTAAAAAAAAAAAATCAGTGATGGCCATAAATGCTCTGAAACTACTAAAACTCATTTAGGTTGCTCCTTCCTTCAAGACATTTACAATTTCCTTCAAGACATTTATAATTACTTTATTCTCAAAGAAACGGAAAAGTTCAATGAGAGATATAGAGAAACTTGACTTACCACAAGGACTGGCTATGAAAGTAGTTATGAGGGTTCAGAAATGCCACACAGCAATTTAAGGCAGCAAAAGAATACTAAGCCAAATTTAAACTGCAGGGTGAATGACCATCAGTAGACACGAACCCTAACTGGACTCGGACCAAAACTTTATAAAAAGGAATTGGGAGTTATTTACAAACAAAAATAAAGCTTTGCTTTTTATGTCTCACCTGAAAGACTGGGAAAATATTTTCATAAGTCAAGAATCTACGGCCAGGGTTACTATTAGACTGACATCTGAAAGCTATTTAAAACCCTCAGGAATCATCTTAGTTGCTAAAATTATAGGAGCACAAAACAGAGATTAAATGTTGATTTATATGATATTTTTGTGAAGTAACATCTGAAGAGCATAAATATTCAAAAGAAATGGGTATCAGTAGGTAATGTGGATTTACAAGGGTACTTACCCCATCATGATAATCACAAATTAATTAAATCTATACATGAAAGGATGTACTAAAAATATTCTTTTTAATTCAAAATTATGGGCTCACTCTAATTCTGGCTTCACCACAGTTTATTACAAGACAAAGTTTAGAATTTTATTTTTCTTATATGGTCTTTAAATTCTCCAATAGGATAGTATACTATGAATCGGGAATTATTTAGGAAATATAATTATGTAGGTTTCTGATTTAGAGCTTGAACAGAAAATTATTATTATAGACAAAAGAAATAGTATGAAAAATTGTATTCCTTAACTAGATAATGACAATGTATGGTAATACATCTCTTGACATGTGATAGAAGGCCTTTAAAGCAGATGCTTTCTATAGTCTCTGTACAGAAGCTTCCCTTACGATACAGAAAGAACAGAATGCCAATGGATTTTACATCTTTTTGAGTGGTAGTTTTGCTTTATTTTTCTGTAGTAATATCGTAAGAATAAGTGGTAAGAGATCTGGGAGGCAGCAGATGGGGGCGGCATCCAAGCATGAACCAAGCATCTACTGGTGTGTCTGGTACTTTCATGTGCTACAGGAACCTGGGGGCCAGACATTATGGTCCCCACTGGGAGATAACGTTGAAGCTCAGGGAAACGAAGGACTTGCTCAAAGCCACATATCAGGTCAGTAAAGGTAGATTCTTGAGTCCACATAAAAATTAGAATGTCTGGTTCTCTAAATAATCATAGTCGTATCATTCTGCAGCTGTAATCTGTCACTGACTGCTGCACCCTCCAAGAGAAATCTTGAAAACAGATCTATAAATTTATTAACAAGGAGGAGTAGCCTTGCTCAAAACTACAGTACAGTAAAAACTGTCAATAAACAGTATTTAAATAGTTAGTGATGATGCAGACCAAACGAAGCCACAAGACTTGAAACTGAAGGGGTCTAGGATTACTTTACTATGCACTGCATTCAGTTTTATATGCAGGACAGAACAATAGAGTGTAGAGTTGGTGTGCTTTTGGAATCAGATCTGGATTCAAAACTTGATTATAGCAAATACTAGCCAGGGCCAAGGGAAGTGAGACTTAGTAAGTTTCTCTAAGCCTCAGTCTATCTATCTGCAAAATGGGGAAAATAAAAAGTACCAAACTTTCAGGTTAAAATACATTAAAGGCCTGACAGTAAAGGCACAAAATGGGCGCACCATAAATAAACTTCATTACTGAAGTTCTCCCGTTGATCTGGGCGAAGTCTGCTCTGCCCAAACGAGCTCCTGGGAGACTGGGCTTTCTCGGTCTGCCAGTGTTCCCTGGCCAGCGCCTGCCACGGATACACCTACCGTGCTGGAGTCAGCTGGGTTCAGGATCTGGGGCAGTAAAGCAGTGCGCCCTCCCCAGGGCCCGGCGGGGGTGTTTCCGTAAGGTTTCAGCAAGCGCTCACGAGAGGATGAAGGAGGCCACAAGGAAGGGGGGGTCCACTGCAGCTTGCCTACTGTCAGAAAGCAGTGGCCAGTCCACGGGGAGGGCGGGGCAGAGTGAGGTAAGCTGTTCCCTAGCAGGGCGGCGGCAGGCACTCACGTCCGCCGCGAGAGAGCAGTGTTTGGTTTTCTGTGGGGGCACAGTGACCTTGTTCCATCTGTGCTTAGACAACATTGTCAAATGGCCCTGTTTTGTCTCATTTTTCATGATCTCAGAGTCATTTTGTCTATTGGTGTTCTGAGATAGACACTGTTTATTTCCAGCTTCTAACAGCACCAAGGCTTTAGTATGAGATCAGTTCCTCGACATCAGGGGTAGCTTTTTTCTCATATGGAGGCCAGATCCATTACATATGCTTAACAAGCTTCCTAAATAAAAACCTCAGTTAATTTAAAAGTGAGATGGATGCTGTGTGGATGCAATCTTTCACATGAACATGACACAAGCACTTTTAATTAAGAAGCTTGCGATGTTCACCATTCCCCCTTCTCCATAGAAATGGCAATACAAAAGTCATCAATTTTAGTTGACAGATGAAAACTTTATGCGATCTTATTAAGGTCAATATTGAATCAAAAGTAGAAACGCCTATTCGATCACTTTCCTCTATGAGATATAATATTGAACTTCATCAGGAAACTCTCTTTTCCTTTGACAACTGTATTGGCTGGGCAAATACTTTTATGTTCTTTATCAATTTCCATGGCCAAAACAAACCAAAAAAATCCCCATGCATCTGTTTAATCACTGCTTAGCCAGACTTTAAAAAGAACTATACCTTCAGTTTTGAAAATCCATATTTGTATACTTTTCCTCTCCAAAAATGTTACTTTCATGAGTAATTAGAAAGATTTAATGGTTATTTATCATAAATAACATTTTCAGGGGAAAACGTTTTCACAGTGTATTAGGATTACTATTTGTCGTTCTTGTCCCTAACTGGATATTCATTTTAAGGTTGTCATATGTAAGTAATTCTGAATGAGTGGAACAATTTTAACACTGGCTAGGCAATGGTTGCACAGACCCTGTTTCACAACAAATTTCACCACTGTATCAAATTCCCCTTATTCTAAACCTCTGGAGTAGTCAGCGACAACTCAGGCAAGTGTGCCTCAGTGCCAGGTGGTGCTGTCCCATGTGCACATAAATACACATGCGCACGGTAATGATCAGTCTCAGGTCACAGAGAATTTGTGAGCAAATACGTAAGGTTTGGTGCAGTGAGCTCAGTCCTGAGATGCAGCGATGCCTTCATCCTAGAACACAGAGGAGAAGCACTCAGATGCTCCCGAGCTGCCTTAGAGCCAGCCTCTCATTCCTAATCAGAGGGAGAATACTTGGCTAGAGTTTTTCATAACTGGAATGTCAACGGCAATAGTAAATAGCATTCAAAAGGCTGAGTTCATCAAACTTTTAAGGAATCAAAGCAAATACCAGATGTCAAGCTATTACTAAATGCCCTGATTAATGCTTGAAGTATTTGAGGGGGAGAGAGTGGGAAATTTCATTCAAAAGTTCTGAGATTGCACAAAAGCAGATATACTGAAAAAGATGTTATTAAATTAATAAAATTAAGATTTAGGATCACTTAATATCATAAAATATATAATACATGAGTATTATATATTTTATGCATATATGTGTATATGCTTATATATGTGTGCATATGCATATAGGTGTGCATATATGAATTTGAAGGTGTGTGTGGGCATTATGAGAAATATTCCCAGATATAAATGAAGATCAAAGACTGTTATTATTTAAATATCTCAAGTAGTTTTTGTTAGTTAAGTTAGTTGATGGCTAGAAAAGACTTTCAAATTTTTATTAACAACTACAAAGAATCTCTAAAATTTCAAGCATGTTATAAAAAAGAAGTAATAATAAAACATCTTTTAAGATGAAAAGTACTAACACATTTTACCAGAAATTAAATCACACTGGTTATAACATATAATCCTGTAATTTTGTATGTGGTATTTTTATCACTTTAGATGCATGCTACAGTATTAAAAATTTATTTTGGCACAACTGAAAGCTAATCAACAACAAAACCTTATAAATAGTTCTCACTTCATTTTATGAATATGATATAAATTATATATGTTAAGTATTGATGTAAATAATAAAAAAGGCAATGACTGCTACGTTTATATACTTGGTTGGTTAAAACTTTGCACCCGTTCAGTAATGGCTTAAACTGCAGCAGTGTCTGGGGCATCTTCAAAGAGGTAAGGTGAGTTTAGCAGAACATCCAGAAATATAAAGATGAATAAAACCCTTAACAACTGGGATAGATGGCCTGCTAGAGTTCATCCATCTGCTTAGTGAATACTGTGTTAAGGATGTTTCACAAAAATGCAAACCTAGCAGATGCGACAAAGTAAAAGGTCAGTTACAGTCTGCCAGGAATGTCGGTGGCTGTGGCGCAGAGAAGTGCCGTCTTCACTGGGGTGCTTAATCTCTTTAGTGAAAAGGAGGCCAAGGCTAATGATACCTTTTGGAGGACAATGCTAATGACAGATTGTTCCAAGCGCAAAATCGAATGCTTCCTTATTAAAGCACATATGAAAACCAGGCAACACACACATAGCACTGCTGAAGTCACCAGTCTCTTCTTAGATTCAAGTTAAGTTAATAATGGCGTCTATACTTTTTCCCCCTTACATATTTAAGCTGATGATAATGAATTTCTCCATTATTATTTTAGGTCAACTTATAAAACTTATTTTGCAGAGGATACACATTCCAGTTAATTATTGATTTGTGCCCATCACTAATCTTCAAAGACAGAGAATCCGGAGATTAAGCCTTACCTGACCAGGATCCGTCCCAGTAACAGTCAGGTCTTGGATGGATCTACGTCTTGGCTGCCCGTTGCCTTTTAAAAAAAAATCAAAAAATTAAAATACTGAAATCTATTCAGAGACAAGAAGGGTTTAACAGCTACAGTAGGAAATTGGAACTTGTTGCTCCTTGGATCTACACAGAATGTGAGAAAAACAAGTGTTTATTGTTAAAAAAAGAGAAAGAAAGATGTAAGGAAAGAAAGAGAAACAGCTATAGTATTTTAACTCGAAAGCTGCTGGCTCACAGTAAAGTGTGTCCTAATACAATAACCACTCCTACCACACGAAGAGCTGCTGAATTCTCTTCCACCATCTTCTGTCATGTGTTTAAATAGATGAATGCTTGGGGGCTGGGGCTGATGACGGCATCTATTTCAAGGGCCTTACGTTCCAGTTTCTTCAGCAAGACAGCTAGCAAGTTGTGAGCCATGACTGGCTTTAACCAACAGCAGTACCTTGTTCATTTCAGAGCTTAAAAGGATGCTTAGGCTTGAATTTATTGCACTGAGTCACACTTACCTAATCCCATTAGTCTTCGTCAGAATCTAGCAATTTATTATTTGTGAACAACAACTCTTAATTCCTAGTGGAGACAGATTACTCTCATTCTCAAATATACAGCTTGTTGAAATGGGCTAGTGTGTTAACCCTGCTTCAGGAACTTCCACGCCAAACATAACTGAATTAAAAATCAGTTTATGAAAGAACTAGACAAATCTAAGTCTTCAGCAACATGGCGGGGGGGCGGGGGGGGGGGCGCGGTGAATTGAACAATAGCTTCACTCAGCACTTCTATTTGGGAATAGGGCTGTTTACACAGTTATTTCTAAGATGAGCAATCAGCTGTCTAAAAGGAAACACCAAAATACTGTGAGTAACAGCTGACACAATAGTCAAAATTCTTTTGACTCTGAAGACTATATTATGTAATAGTGGGCAGCGCTCAGACCACGTATTCTAATAGTTGCGGCCTGATCAGCTGACAGAATTCATTCTTAAAATTTTATATCTCCATAACTTTCATTATCTTATTTTAAACCAGTCAGCAATAAATCCCAGCATCTTAATCAAGGTGACCCTACTATTTTGTACATACACTAAAAGGACTTTAAAACAGAAGAATAATGTTTAATGCAATAGTACGTGCAGTGAATATAAAAACTCAAATTTATAGTTATCCTAGAAAGTATAACTCTTTTGTATTTAAAGCTATGTTTTAGAATTCTTTGCATAATCTTCAAGTTACTTCACATTTCATTTTACTCCAAGCTCCAACTTTCAGTTACAAATTGACATAACAACAAACTGCACATTTATGGAAACAGGCACACTAAGCTATTTCTCTGAAAACTTTTAATTATCCCCATTTTCCTGAGGACAAAAAGGATCCCCACTACCATGACTAATGAGCAATTTCAGGCACATTTCATTCAACACAATCATTCTAAAATTGGCTGAGATGAGACAGGCTTGTAAAAGTGTCTGGAATTCTCTTTTCAGATTAGCAACATTTGTGAATCTGGGGAACCACCCAGCACATGTGTCTGAAAATCATTACATCACTATTGCAACAACAAAGACAAGCTCTAAGGGGGAGGCGGGGGGGAGATGGTGGGGAGAGGCGGGGAGGGGAGAAGGGGAGGAAAGGGGAATAAAAAGTTATAAGTAGGGGAAAGGAGAGCTGACAGTTAACAGATGCCATAAGATGAGAAATCTTAAAGCTACAGCATGAGTCAAAAGCAAGCAATACTAGGCAATGCATTTTCATTAGTATAACCATGGCAGAAACCATCTGGCATACAGTTCAGAGGAAGCAAAAAAGGATTGCAATCAACAAATACTTGTTGCTCCAATATTAAGTTTCAAGCCATAATTTAGAAATATGAATGTAAAAAACATAAAGCTCCTATTATCACAAATGAAAATTACTGAGTGTGTGCTCAGTAAATTTAGACTGACTCTGAACTTTTTGGTAACTAAACACTAATTTAGAAACTCATTTACTTTACATTTTTTCATGGTTCTTTAATATGTGCATACCTGTATTAAACACAGCAGTGTAAAGGAAAAAAGAAGTAGAAATAAGGGAGAATATGATCAACAGATGCTTAATCAAAGAATATGGAATTTATAAATGATGTCTTGAGTTTTTTAATCTGTAATGAATTTTGGAACGTCAGGACTTCTGATAGGGAACAAAGGATATTTTTAAAAATAACTTTTCTAAGAGCAACAAAAGGAATATACTACATCCCTAAGCCCACCTTCTTCCCCACCCCTAAAAGGGTGGTTGGAACAGCAGCTTAGAGGGCAATTGCTTTTACAACACTGAAACAAAATCCATCTCTCCAAAAAGCTGCTCTTTTAAAGTACAACTGCTTTCCTGAGCTGGTATTTGGAAGTCATCAGAGTCCTTCCAGAGAGTCACTCCTGAGGCTTTTCTTATCAGTTTCCTTACCTAAACTACTTACATTTTTCTAGGTTCCAACTTTCTGAAGACACTATTCATGTAAAAATCAATACATTTTCTTGGAGACATCTCTTAATCAAAATGTTGGAAATTTTGATATTTGTTAAGCTTTGAATATTAAAAATTATGGGACACTTATCCTTTTTAGATTTTAGAAAGTGATCTTGGTAGACTACAATAAGGTGGAAAGAGACTACTGAAATATTTCCTGTAAGGTTAGATGCACTTCCCTATTTAATTAGTCACAAATACAGAATTTTATTGAAGGAGCAGTGTCTGCACTTGGCAGAAGCAGATGTAGCGTATCTCAGAAGAGCTCTCCTCGGGCCTCCGTGTCCCTAAGCAAAGGCAGGTGTTAGTGACACTATCTGTGTAAGGTAGGAACTTGAGTTCCAGAAAAGCTCGGTTCTTTCCACCTCATGGTCTCCTCACAGCGGCGCTGCACTGTTGATCGTTTGCACTTTTCATATTCTTCTTAACTACTTATCACACTTTTGGTAAATAACGAATATACAACAGGGCTCAGTGTACCTGACTGAACTTTAAAGTGAATGAATAATCATTACATTTTTCTCAGTTAAGAGATCTAAATGCAGTTGAAACCATTAAGGACTCCTAAAGTTTCTTTTCAGCTTCAAGAATATTACAAGCAACAAATGTCAAATTCAGAGACCTGGACAAAAATATTTTATGTGTATTAAGAGTGACTCAACAAAACACTTGCATATTCAGCCTTCTCTAGCAAATCCTTAAGACAGTATGTAATGCTTTTTGGTCAAAGTGTTCTATCAGTTTAAAATGTTATGCCATCTTATCCCAGGCTTAGGAATAACAAAAAGTACACTAGAATCTCACTGTTCAAGGTCCTCAAACAGAAGTACATGAAGGCAATGCCTATCTGTAGAATAGAGGAGAAAAATCTCAAGTGTTTAAAATGAAGCCAAGTACTGTAATTTAGTCTGAACTTAAAAAAGAAATTCAGAACCAGTGAGTACGATATTATAGTAGTATTAACAAAAACTATTTAAATATATTCTATAAAACCTTACAATTTAGCTCGTTTTAAAAAGTTATCTTTTATAATATAAGTACAACAGTTATTCAATATCAGTATTTGGAAAAATTTACTTTTGCAAATCATATGCTGGAAATTCATTTCATAATAGCAATCAATCTGGTATGAACTATACCTGAGGATGTTTTAACAGAAAGGGAGAACGTACAGACAGCTTATGTTTCAATTAAATCTTTTGCAGGTGGTCTGTGTGCATGTATCTGACAGTACTTTCATCCAGGGGATTTCAAAATATATTCTAAGCACAGCTGACTTCCTTGAGCACTGTAACTCTTCACACAAGGGCTCCAGAGCAGGACTGCTGATCTCCCTTGATGACAGACACCACAGCCATCAACAAAGTATTTTTTACCTGTTCAGTCTCTTGTTTAGTTGCTAAGCTCAGCTGGACGCTTCTGCAGCTCCATGGACTGCAGCCCGCCAGGCCCCTCTGTCCATGGACTTCCCAGGCAAGATACTGGAGTGAGTTACCACTTCCTTCTCCAGGGGACTCTTCCCAATCCAGGAATTGAACCCACGTCTCCTACTTTGGCGGGTGGGCTCCTTACCACTAAGCTGTCAGAGAAGCTGACTCAGTCTCTTCCTCTATGAAACTGGAAAAGGTTGCTGCTCTTGTGTAACTTTTTGACATTTTACTTGTTTAACTTTGACATGTGGAATTTTAAAAGAAATGTAAAATTTAGGTATTCTTCTAACATCAGATCAAATGTTACTATCAAATGTATTATAGTTTCCCAATTCATAATCCCTATCCCATTTGAGTATTTGAGATGAAGATGGAGGGAAAATAGACCCTTGGAAGCTTGGATAGTGACAAAAGCAAAATGTGGGAAAGTCAAGAAAATTCAAGTAAAAGGACCAAATAAACAAAAATTCATGTTTTCATCAAAATCTTAAAGGAAAAAACTTTAGAAAAATTTAAAGCAATCCAATAATCTGCCACCCACTCTTTTCTTCAAATAAAACGGATTAGAAAACTATAAATCAGACAGTTTCAATTACGGGCAAGAGATGTCTACATTTACATTAACTTTGCTTAGGCTGCACAGTTATTTGGCAGGACATTCTCTCCCAATGAAGAGTCAGCGAAATGTCATACTGGACTGGCAACTGCCCCTGTTATGTGTCTTCCTTGCTAAAAAGAAGCCAGACCGATTTACAGCCACTCTGTGGGCAGCGGAAAGCAGAAAGAAGACTTAACTATGACAAAGTTTGCCAATACCTCTTTGAGAGCCAGGCCCAAGGTAGCAAGGATACAAACAATTGTGTAGTTTGACCAACAGAAGTCCTGAGGTATTAAAGGTCCATTTTTGCATGACCCAAGAGACTGTTAAATTGATGGATGCTGGTGTTAGCCACAGGTTGCTTGTTCTTCCTCATTTGTTGATGGCAGGATATTTACCAGTGTTGAAGAGCAAGCAAAAAACAAGATTTAAATTTGTTCACCCATGACCAGGTTAGGCATTTTAGTCATTATAAGGAATGTATCAAAAAAATTTTTTTAGAGTAACAGTGCCTATTTAAAAACTTTCAAAACTTGGTAAAATTTTTTAAAAATGCAAGAAGCAACACTTCAAAAATGATACATTTGTACACTGCTAATAAATACATACAAAAACTTACTTGATGCTTAAAGGAGCACTCCTAATAAAAAGAGGCAGTTTATTCCCAGAGGATTAAGCTCAGTATACGGCACTTGGCCAAAGGCAAGTATTATTGAAAATACTTAACCATAACAGATGAAAAATATAGCTTATATTTTAAAAATGCTTACAACTGGGATTCAATGCTAATTAATGCCAGTTTGGATATATCAAGAAGTATCTGATAATATAACCACAGAATTTGTAGGGAATCAACCTCAAGTAAAAAAGTTCTAAAAGGTATTAAGAAATTTAGGGAATTAAATTTCATCCTTCTTTACAATTAAAATGGCCATGTAAGATAGTTGAGATATTCCCAAAGCACAGGTTATATCTTTTATGTTTAATTTAAAAATATAACCTAAGAATAAATTAACGTTTGAGTTTTATGTCCTATTATTTCAATTCCAGTGGTTGCATCCTTTATTAAAAAATGGAAACTACTAGGTTAATGTTTGAACATCTGGGGGAAAAACCCAACAAGAACATTTAATAAACGTATTACTGAATAAAATACTGTTTCCACTTGACAAGCACTGGTACTCTGGCAATTATCAGCAGAATTACGCTTTCCCGACCCCAGAAGGATCCAATGTCATTCAAAAGTATCTCCTGGATGAAGCGCTCAGTTAAATCTAATATGAACCCTAAGTAGGAGCAGCACAGAATTATTCTAACTTCTGTGACTCAAACAAAACAAAAAAAAAAAATGGGTGCAATCTGGTGTCAGAAGATCTAGGATGGGATCCTGGCTGTGTAACTCTGGGAAAACCATTCAACACCACCGAATCTTTTTCATCTGTGAAATGGCTGTTATGCTGCTGTGCTTTAAACTGCCTTACAGGTCTCACAGAACTCCTAACCAGGGATTTTCAGCCCTGGCCCTGCTGGCCCTTCAGGATGGTAACTCTCGGCTGCGGGAGGCTGCCTGAGACTCCTCAGACTGCCCAGCAGCAACGCGGCTTCTGCCTACCCCGTCAGTAGCACCCATTAGTTCTGACCATCAGAAACGTTTCCAGACAGTGCCAGATGTCCCCTGGCGGGGTGTGGTGTGGTGCACACATTCACCCCGGTTCAGAACCTCGGAGACCGTTTTCTCCGCTTCTGCCCCACTCACTGTCACACACATCACTGGCTATTTCGCTATGTGTGGGTGTATCTGTTCTTAATGTTTATCCATAAGACTCAGATTAAGATTTGTGTGCCATTCAGCTAAATTTTTCTGATACTCTCAAACATTTAAGATCATCACAGCTCAGCAGTATGAATGTTTAAACGCTGCTGCTTCTTCAGTTAGAGTACTATTCCCTTAAACTTGGTATCTTTCAGGGCAGAGATAAAATGATCCTAAGTACTTTACTAATTTTGAAAGCAGCCCATGACTCAGTAAACGTATGCGAGGAATAAATTAACTGTATTCTCTGAAGGGCAACAATGAAAATGTAAAATAAACCAATTGAACAACCAGAATAACAAAAACAAACAAAAAAAGAATAACAAAACTAGAAATAAAATGGTTTTGCATAGATGGAATGGGCCCTAAGAACTGTTTAAAATATTTTATACACATCTGTAATTTACAGATTTTACATGTATCCTAGTTCTGACCCGCTGGGAGCTCAATAATGGGTCATTTCCATAACTGGCACATATTTATTAAACACTATGTGTGAGGTCTTCAGCCAGACACGGCTGATGCCATCAACAATAAATAACAAAGACACAGTCTCTACCCTCAGGTTCCAGTTTACTGGAGGAGCCAAGAAATACGAGGCACGGGGATTTAGATTCATCTATGAGATAATCACCATAAGAAATAACAGCAATTTAACCATATGAGACATGTGGGAGTTAGGTATAAAAACATGTAATTTGCAAGAAGATCCTCCTAATAATACAAAGGAATCAGAAGTGACCATAATTATTTGGCAACATACCATGCAAAACAGCAAATCTCATTTAGTTTTTATTTTGTTTCTGTTTTCTAGGCTAAGGCAAAATGTTATTCAGCTACTCTTTTCTCAACTTCCTATTTCACTTGCTACCAACAGAAAGAGGCTGGGACAGAATGCCAAGAGGGAGCCCGCAAGTTCTAATGAAGGAAGGAAAGGAGCCAAGGACAACAAGTATTTTTAAAGGATTGTTTTCTCTTTCTACTAGGTGCAAGAAAGGTCTGGGTCCAGCTATTCCGCTCATTTAAAAGATGAGAGGAAGTTGGCAGAATTCTGGGCTGGTATGCCTCCTTCCATGAAAAGGCTTATTACTTTACCTTCTAGTTCTTCCTCAGTTTTGGAGATGTGAGGTTTCTGGCCAAGCTGGCTTCAGTGCAGATAAATGTATACAGTTTTTAATCTGTCTCTCTGAGGACTGCATGCAAGGTATGTACTTTCACATCTACCAAATTGGAGCAAGAAGCATTTTATAAGCACCAGGGGTCATTATTCCGGTTTTACAGCTATTAGAGCATCCCAGGTGGTCCATGATACCTGCTGTGACGGTCTCAGGGACATCCAGAATGTTGCCAAATGAAGCGGTTTTACGGTGGCCCCGTTTAGGCTTGGAAAAGGCTGCAAAAATACACACATACAGTATACATGCAAACAACCACAAATAGTAACACAGAAAACAGTGAACAAAAACAGAATACTTTTCAAATAGTTATGTTAATAACACTTCATGCAGGATGGCATGCAGAACTATCAAACCCTTTGTCCATGCTTACACAAGGCGTGATGAAGGAGCAAACAACTATCAATACAAGATGTTTCACATACTGGCTTTAATTAGCAGGAAAAAAGAAAACAGGACAGAGACAAACAAAGCTGCAGGGTGATGAGAAAGCTAGGTTTCCAACACGTTCGTGGAAATAATCCACATGCAACCACTGAGGTGCAGTAAGGGTCTACCATCAAAGTGGGAAGAAAAGAGGAATTAAAAAGAAGTAAGCTGCCGTATTTGTTTTAGTTAAACAAACACAGGAATGTGTGTTCAATGAGGTGTTTCCTGAAGCGTGCTACAAAGTACAATTCAGTGATTACATGATAATTATTGAATCAAAGTATGAAATGTATATGCTCTTATAATGGCAAATACTTAAACATACTTCTGATAAACTGAGTATTTACTGTAGTTTCCAAAGTTTAGGGTCTATTCCTGCTAAACCGGAATAGTTCTGAAAGGCTGGAAAATATGAACCTGTCAAAGTAAGACAATTCACCAACAAATGTTCAGCCCATCTGTTTTATTCACATTTAGGCAGGGAAAGGTTAGGGTTATTTAAATATATGTGGTTACCTTTAATCTGGTGAAACATCACTTCTGTAAAGATTAATTACAAACCAGTACCTGACTAAAAAATTGACACTAGCAGATATAAAATTATTACTATTGCATTACAGAACACTTCCTATTTTAGGGAGCAACCACTATTTGGCAGCTCTGACCTGAATGATATTCCTGAAATGAAAAGGACTCCCAAAGTGTTAGGCTGCATTTCTGTGGACACTGTTCATCAGACACGGTCCTGTGACCCTCCCACTGCTCACAGAAACACTTGTGACTCAAGTGACCTCCACGCCACTTGCTTCTTTCTCAAGATTCCGTCTGCGTGGCAGAGACCAGCCAGTCTCTACTTTTCCTTTTTTTCTTAGCAACAGAACCTCAACTGTACTCAGGACAGCAACGTTCCCAGGCGAAAGACTGCAGATCCCCTCTCCCCTTGGATCCACAGGGAGCCGTCTGGCCCTATTACTATGGCCAGGGACATAAACGTGGGAGCTGTCAGGAGGGACTTCTGTGAAAGCTTTTTGAACAAGCAGCCCTTGCCCTAACTCCTGCTTCCTGATGCTGGGATTGTGGATGTGATGACTGGAACTACAACAGCCATTATGGAGCACAAGGTCACCGTCAGGATGAAAGCCACACAACAGCGATTTTAACACAGAGAGACAGAAGAAACCCAGTCACCAAAGATCGAGGAGCCTACCTCCAGATTGGTGTGTGTGTGAAAAAAAAGTTTGTGTTAAAGACACTGTTATTTTGGAAATTCTATAAGATCTAACTGATTCTAATGCTAACTGATAAATAAGTGACCAAGATTAGTTGAAGACAAAAAGAGTTAGGATGGTCCTCTGGACAACTTCCTTCTTAAAAGAACTTCACACAAAATGAAAATATTCTTTCTAGAAAGAGACCAAAATGATCTTAAAACAAAACAAAACATAATCCCACAAAACCTGGTTAGCTGAGTTTAAAAAAAAAAAATGCTAATACACTAGGGAATACACTTATATATACATATGTAGTCTAAAAGACTAGAGGTAAATACACAAAAATGTGTTTATTTTTTAGCGGGACAATCATGGAAGACTAGGTTTTTAAAATTTATATTTCTACATTTTCCATGATAGAAATGTATTTATAATTAGTCCCTCTCCACCCCTAGGGAAATCAGAAAGAAAACAATTTAACCCATCATTACTAAATGAACCTGGTTAGAAAAGGTTAGAAGTCCACTAAGGTAACAAAACATATTATTTTTGTGCTGACCAGTCTTTCCACAATTAATCATTTTAAGTACTGACAAAATGGAAGAGAAATGCGAGCTTTTATCCAGATCAAATTACTACGACCTTTTATTTTACAATTAAAAGAATTAATCACAAACTCAGCTGCTTGTGCCACTGAAGGGAGCAGCAGCAGAGAGTAAGGCCAAATCATATTTTGACCTGGAGCACATTTTCCTGCTAAATTCAAAACAAAACATTTGCTATTACTTGAGTTCAGCACAAAACTCTAGTAGAATCACTCAGAATCCTGCCAAAACATCCTGGTTTTGGCTAAAATTCAATTTCTCATTTAGATTTTTAGCTCATATTGAGCTGAATTTTATTTGATAAAAATCTGTAATAAGAAATTCAACTTTATAATGCAAATAATTTTACAAATCATGCTTGGTTTATCTGGAATTTGAGATGCTTTCTGCTAGAAGCATGGGAAGTATATTATAAATCAACTTCCTGCTTTAAAAAAATTTAAGAAACACACAAGAAAAGCCCCTGACATTCCCATGACTGAAACAACTGAAACTACCATTTTCGTTCCTCTTCAGACTCTTACTTCCTTTTTACCTGTGGTTGCAGCAATCCTGGCTTCTATTTCAGACATATCGGCACTCATCCTCTTGCCTTCAGAGGTTGGGGGCAAGCTCTCCACGCTGCTCCCACGAGAAGCTCCCAAGCTCAAACGCCCAGATTCACTCTGTTAAAAACATAGGTCAATTTGAATTACTGAAACTCTTCATATGTAAAAATCCTGGGCAGCTAGAAGAAGGGAGATACCAAATGGGATTTTTAGGGATTCTGTTCTGTAAGAAATGGAAAATTTTCAGGGAGTGGGAGCTGTAGGAGTGACGAAGAATAAGCTGCAGACACTGGCCTTTAGGAAAAGGTGATCACTAGAGCTGGGAGTTAAATGTCCCAATTATTAGTTACCCTAAATGCCTCAAGGAAGATGAATAAAATCACTCCTTGAAATATTTCAAAACCAGGAAGAGCAAAAATATAATAAATCTGGAAACATGAAATGACGGATCTAGAAGAACTCCTTTAACCAGGCAGTATAGCCAAGAAATCTCCATTTCACACCTGTAACCATCAACTGCCCAAGTGAGGGATCATAAGGAAGATATGCACAAATGCCAAAGGCAGCAATCATCAGATGGGAGAACGATTAATTGTAAAGAATTTCAGGAGAATCTCATTACACATCTCTACTCTTGAGCCTATCTGTCTGCTTTAGGAACAAGACTCAGGACTTGTATAGTGAAGAAGGCAAACAATACTTGCTAGTATAATGTTGAGGACTTCATGACTACTGGTAAGGTTACCAAAAGGTTTAACTTTTAATAACAAAACAAACCTGTTGTTTTGCCTGGTTTTTCAGCAATTTTGACTCTAAGCGTTTAATTGTATCGTTTGTGGCGGGAACCTGTTCCATGTTAGTGTCGCTTTTATTACTGGTGTTTGTAGACGCGATGTCCATGAAGGAGCCTAGGAAAGCAAAAATATTTATGACAATAGGCTGCAAATAACACACACGCTTCATTCAATAAAATGCAACTTAAATTCTTTTCTAAACTAGCAAGATATGAAAAGAGGTAAGACTTTTCAAGCTAATGAAGATACCCAAACAAACCCATTTTAAATGATATTTCAGGATAGCGCAAAAAGGGAACCAAAGTGCCTAAAGAGTTTTCTAATAGTCAAGAAAGACTTTAAGATTCTCAGCCTGAGAGAAAGAAATGGCTATTAATCAAGATGGAAAGAGTGTGGAATGACTGAGTCTGAAGGGAGCTCAGTTAGGAAAATGGTAATTTTGAGCTCACAGCAGGTATCAATCAAGTAGTTGGATATGTGAGTGTGGAGTTCAAGTTTGGGATGGAGCAAAAATATTGGCAAACACACGGAATACATGTATACTGGATGAGATTACTAAGGAAATGAGTTTGGACAAAGAGGTCAAATGGCTACGCCCTGAGCACTCTGACGTTTATAGGTTGGGAAGATGGTGACCTTGACAAAAGCAGTTCTAGAGTAGTGGTATAATAAAAGCTTGAAGGAGTGAGCACAAGAGAATGGCAAGAGAGAAGCCAGAGAAATGCAAATCCAGACTTCAACAGTCCCCGCCTTATCCACAGGGGATACATTCCAAGACCTCTAGTGGATGCCTGCAACCTCAGACAGTACTGAGCCCTCACATCCTGTGTTTTTTTCTTATACACATATACCTGGGATAAACTTTAATTTATAAATCAGGCACAGTAAGAGATAAACAAGACTAACTAAAAATAAGACAGAACAATTTTAATAATATATGGTAATAAAAGTTACATGAATGTGGTCTCTCTCTCAAAATACCTTACTGTACAAATTTAATACCTTTTTCTAACTAAGCACTTATCCTGCACTGTGGCAGTTAACTTTTGCAGTTTGAAGCATGACAGCAAAACAAGCATAAATTTCTTTTTCCTTCTTCATGATTTCATGGACAGAAGTTCTTAATGCAGATCTTAGCAACCTCAGCCAGCATAGGATTTGTTTTTCCTAATTAAAGTTGAGAATTTTCACCTTTTCAGTTAGAGGAAGCACTTTCCAGCTTCTCTTTGGCATATCAGAATTGCCAGCATCATTACTCGTGTGCTTTGGGGTCATTAGTAAATAAAACTACGGTCCCATGAACACAAGCACTGTGACACCTCGACAGGTGATGTGACAACCAAGAGGGCTACTAAGTGACAAGTGGATAGGATACACGGAATAAAAGGACGATGCACAGGACGGAGCGAGACGTCATCGTGCTGCTCAAGACGGCTGCAATCTAAAACTTATGAATTATTTCATTCTGGAACCTTTCCTTTAGTATTTCTGGACAAACTGTGGACAAGGCGGGGGGGGGGGGGGGACTACTGTATATATACTCAGGGAATGATCCCAGTACAGAGGCGAAAACTGATGATGCAAGAGACAGGAAGAACTGCTAGGAGAGCAGACGGGATCTGATGCACAAGGGGACAGGCGTGCCTCTGGCTGTGAGCACGGACAGTTCAGCGTGGCAACAGAAGGGGGTGCAGAGCAGATGGGGAGACACGGGCAGGAGGCGCGTGGACGGGGAGTCTGGCAGCTGTCTTCTGATCACAGGGAAACGGTCAGGGTCAGCTGAGGGTAAGGAGTGGCAAGCAAATGTTTTTAGAGAAATTCACTTTAGAACTCAGAGCATCTCAGAAAGACTTTCAGTAAAATTGGAACCAGTTTACATATAATTTTTTTGGAGGTAGGGGAAATAGACCAGTAAAAATAAACTTTTAAGAATGCATTAAGTATATGTGTACATACACACCTATGCGTTTTAACTTTAAGCAAACGGACAGGAAGGCCTGGCGTGCTGCGGTTCATGAGGTGGCAAAGAGTTGGACACGACTGAGCGTCTGAACTAAACTGAATAATGAAATGTTCATAATACCATATATTTTGAAAAGTAAAATTTTTCTAAATTAGAGTATTACTTCTACTGTTTTTTTTGATGACCACAAACTATGGAACTGAGGAACTCTGAACTAAAACACAGCTTCTTAAATGAATGTCTCTTATGGATTCTTCTACAAAGATCAACTAGTAGGGTGCTCATGATACAGAAAATATGCTGTTTTATATATACATATTTATAATAATTTTTGATACTATTTGATCTAGCTGTATGTGTAAGAATTATTTTTCAAGTAAAGAATGGCATCCACAAAAATATAATATCCAGTCTTTTTAGATATAACTGTGTAAGAATTTCAAAACTTGGAAGTGGGTTTTCAATTAACTCTTTAACCTGGGTACCTGCATGAAGAATGATACACCTGGAAATTCAAATTGCAATCATATTAAATGAATAAATTAAAATGCAAAAAGGGACATCATTCATTGCTTCTTGATTATCGTTTCATGGGAACAGAGACGCAAAAATCTTAGGTTATTACCATTCCAACCTATCCACTCACCTGTGCTGGCAGCGGAGTTGCTCTGTCCTTCATCTGAATACTGACAAGGGTATTGTAATGGCTCGTCTGCTCCTGGAAAGTACTATATATAAAAAGGTAAATAACAATGTAAACTTTCTTTAGTACAAATTAAATCGTGTGAAAATTAACTAAGAGAGTTAAGTATGTGTGAATTACTTCCTTGCTGAGATCTGAATGCAGCAAAGATGCTGCTTTATTTTCACTAAGGCATATGTGGAAATTTGTAGAGACAACAATGTGCTAACTCTTCTGAATTTCAACTGTTATCAATGCTGTGTATCCACCTACACAGAGCCCAGATAATCTTGAAGAAAACAGTCAATATTCCTCTAGAGGGACATATGAAATTCAGCAGTATCATTCGTCATAATTATATGAAACATTATTCATGTTCTCATAGCAGTGATGCTAATCTCTGAAGTGTTGAAATGACTTAGTCTGACAACTGAGATGGTATGCCATAGAATAATTTGTTAGAATCAGTATTTTAAATATCAAGGATAGATTATGAAAGTTTCTCTATGAATCAGAGATAAAATATTGGACATATCTGCTGGATAAAAATTAGAATTTAGGGAGAAAAAAGAGAAACGTTTTCTTCTCAAATTAGACAAAGCACCTAAAAAGACAATCAAAATCTGAATAACTTATATAACCCAAAGTTTTAAGGTGTGTGATTATGGAGACCAAGCTGTTTTCTTTACTTTTTAATTTTAATTTTTACTGAGTGTTTTCTTATGAATGTTTCTTTAGGTCCCAGGATTCTACGTATAGCTCTTCTCCAAATATGAAATTAAGCTATAAGAAGATGAGTTCAAGTTGCTGAGCCTAACTTATTTTCAACAGAATGAACAAATTAATTATGTGTCCATTTAGGAAATCACTTAATCTATATTCAAAGAGATTGAAAGATTCTTCTACTTAGCAAATTGTTCTGAAATTCAGGCACTTTCGCAAGTGCATAAACATTTCCAAGTCAAGGTACTCCTTGATAGATTTGTTAGTGCATCAAAAACCAGAGGCCTAGAATGATTCAAATAATTCTAACAAAAGTGTTTGATTTATAGACTGGGAAATTCTAATAATCATTTAAAATAATTCTTCTAAGTTCTAATATTCTACAGATCCTAGAAAAAAGTTTAACTTTTTAATGGCAAGTGAAAAGCTGAAAATATACAATGAAAAACCAAAAGGTAAAAATCACTTAAATAAAAGTGTCTGGGAATGTAGCTTCTCTAGTGCGCTATATAAATGACAGCTTGATAAAGATTTGTACTAAAGAAAGTTTATAACTCAGCAACAATTAGAGTCATAAAATACTCAAGTTCTGTAAAGGCTTTAGAGATCATCTAATTCAACTTCTCTCACATTACAAATAAGGCAACAGGCCCAGTAACAAATACATCTACTGAGTTAAGGAGAAGGAAAAAAACATGTTCAGAGACCTAGTCTAGCCATCTTTCCATTATCAAGAACTAGATTTTTTTTTCTAAAATAATGCTTTCTTCTCTGATTATATGAGTAATGAATACCCATTCTAAAGTGGAAAATACAAAAAAGTATACAACAGCAAAAAAATGATATCCCCTTACTTTAAAATCCCATTAAAACTCAGTATACATAAGAGTCCCTTAATCCCAAAGCCCCTCAAAAGAAGGATTATACCCGCATCAAGTGAGTCATTATTTTCACAATTTCCTCCATTGAAGGGCGCTGAGAAGGATCTTTAGACCAACAGCGAGTCATCAGGCTCTCAATGGGCTTAGGTAAATTTTTGATCAGTGGTGGTCGAGTACCTGCAATTAAAAGAGGAGGGGAGAAAAGAATGTATTTACTCAAAGAATAGTGCAGGTTTCTAACATGGTATTTATTTTCTAAACCAAGAATTTTTTAGGAGGAATAAAAGCACATTTATTTTGTCCTTTAGGTTAACATTACATTTTCATAAAGGGGAATCTACACCTTTTGAGAAGCCAAATTAAAATTTTCACATGCATTATGACTGAGATTAATAATATTTCATTTATTATAAACACTCTTTTAACAAATAATTAACAGCTTAATGTGTGAATGGTGACTCGAGGTAATATCTGACCTGTATTTTCAGATTTATCATAAAAATTTCAAATCTGTTTGAAAGATCATCTTCCACATATCAAAAGTCATCAACTACGGTATTACACTCACTGACTTCTAAACGGTTCTTTTGTGGGAGGCAGGCCTTAACGGTAGCTGTGACTCAGTCATTTCACAAGCGGAAAACTGCCAACTTTTGTGTAATTAACAAGACTAATATCACTAGCAAGGCCCCTAACTTAAAAGAAGGGCCCGATTATAATGAAATCTTTGTAAATTTATCAGTTAATCAGTTAGTTATTTTATTTCTTACTTCACTGACATTCAATTTTACTGCCACATGACAGAAAAAGAAAACAAACTGTCCAGGTGAGTGCTCTAGCATCCTCCATAACAACAAGAAAGGTAGTGCAAGGAACCGGAAACTCACACGATCACGCCAGCGACTCCTTGACATGTCTATGAATGACCAAAACAGTGGGGCAGACACTTGTTCTATCACATGTGGAACAGTGTGTCAAAAATGCCATTAATCAGAATAATTATAATCAAGAGACAGAAATTAACAACAGAGAGGGAGAGCAAAAGTTTAAAGATTTGGCAATTCCCTTTCAAGAACTTTATTTTCCCAAAGCAACTGTAAAGTAACTTGATTAATGAAGGAGATGTATTCTAGTATCATGAGTAGTTAGAAACGTTGAAATTAGAGGTATAAAGGGAATAGAAGGGATGCAAGGACATTGTGTCCATAAATGAACATAACTTAAAAATATGGACATTGGAGTCAGAAACATCCAGACCTAATGTCAGCAACATCACTTACTAAACCTGTGATCCTAAGCAAATTACTTAGCTGCTCTAGGTCTCAGCTTCTTAATGAGGAAAGCTGTAAAATGGGGCAATAATAGCACTCATATCATAAGGATGAATGAGAAGCTAAAAGGCAAGACTATGTGATGCACTTCGCGTTTTGCCTTTATGAATAGCTTAAATAACAACTCGTAAGTAACAACAAACTTAAAATGCTTTGCTTTCTCTCCTCAATGAGACACTGCTTCTTCAAGAAAAAAAAGCAATAGCTCCCTAATTTTCTTAACCATGTGAGAAAATTGATTTTTCCCCACAGCGCCCAGTCCAACGTGTCCTTGTCTGCTGGAGAGAGGCAACGGGGCGGCTGGCTCCGGCTGTCTGCTGAAGGCCTCTCCTGCGCGGGCAGAGCGGGCAGACCTTCTCAGCTTTATCCAGAGCCAGGACTGCCCCTCTTCTGCTCCATCTTGGTGTTGGGGCAGGGAGGGCTTGAGGCTGGTTACAAGAAATCCTACACTTTAATACTGGGGATAAATGGTCTTCTTTGGGGGAGAAACAATTTCCAAATAAGAAATATACAAAACATACTGACAAAAAACTTCACAAACCGTTATGAACAGCCCACATGATACGGAACGCTGGGCCACCAATTTCATCAAAGGGTTTCCGACGTGTTATCACTTCCCAAAGGATAATACCCCAGCTGAAGACATCACATTTTTCACTGTAATTGCTACCTAGAAAAAAAGGTAGTAAAATTTAAAGACTTTTCCCCACATGACTTACAGAAGGAATGGCTTTCATAAATTTTAAGAATAAGCATCATGTACAAAAACAAGAGACTGCCACAGGTATGGCTGAAAAACTTTCTGAAGACCCCAAGTCTCTGCAAAAAACACACTTTAAAATGAGTTAACTATGAATAATGCACTCAGAAGCGTACTCGATCATGTATAAAACAGGTGCCCAGCAGGAAGCCGGTGGGTGACACAGGGACCCCAGCCTGGCGCTCTGCGGTGGCCTGGACTTGGGGTGGGGGTGGGCAGGGAGGCTCAGAAGGAAGGGGGTGCGCACACACACACGTGTCTAGTTATGACTGATTTGCACTGATGTACAGCAGGGACTGCCATGCTATAAAGGAATTATCATCCAATAAAGAGGAAAAAAAAACAAACCCACTTTAGAAAGTTAGTCATTCTCTAACTTTTTGTCAAGAAATGTAGACCTTATCTTTTATTTAAACTTATTTTCTCTGGGGCAGAGAATTAAAACAACTTGTACATTCCTTTCTGTAATTTCTTATTCCTTTCTGTAATTGCTTAATCTTAAAATTTTCTTCTCCCATTCTCTTGATGGAAAACACTATCAAAGCAGAAGAAATTCCTAATCTAGTGTGAAGATTTTTTTTCCCAAAGTATCTGGTGAGATAAATTATTAACTTGCAAACTTAAAAGTAAGTTGTAAGCAGGAAAACTACAAATACCAAATTTACAGTAAGCAGATTTATGCTGCAAAATGTACATAACTGTAAGTCAGCTGTCAATCAGCTGATAAACAAACAAACAAAACCCTAAACCCCATGAAGAGCCCACTGTGAGAACGACCAATATGACAACAGCAGCTGCGGATGTGCTTTGCGTGTGCCCCAGGCAGTAGGCACTATGAATGGGACAGTGACATCACAGTCTGACTTGAACCACAGGTGCTGACACCTTTCAGAAATGAAGAAATCTACACAGCCTAATAGTCTGAGTTTTCTTGCTCTAAACAATTAAGAGTAACTTTTATTTCTGGGTTCATCTGTAAAAACAAATCTTTCTGCTCTCCACACTACAGTAATAACTGTGCTATTTTAACTCAAAGAAAGTCACATTAAATAAATAATTTCAAAACAATGCCAATTATGTGTATTCTACATACGAACTTAAAACAAGTGGCATGATTTAACCTTATATAATTTAACATGTGCTTGTCCACAAACATTTTAACTGAACTTTGTGGCAAAATAGCTCCACTCAAGGGACCAGCTGCAGAGCAAATTTCTTTCTCTTGGTGGCTAAAAACAAAGAACAAAAAACTTTAAATTCATCAAAAATAAAAGTCAAAATCGGAATCCAATTATTCAATGTTTCTGAATTTCATGGGCTTTCATACCTTCTAATGCATGAATCACACGTCTTCAGCTCAACTTTTCTCAATTATTTAAAAGATAATTGATGTTTTTATACAGAAACCTCATATGCAACTTATGGATCACTCTCTTAGAGCTTGAGTTAAGTTACCTGTGTTCTTTCTAAGGCACGCTCCGGAGCTCTGAATGCTGACATTTCACCATCAGAAAGCGCACTGGGTCCCTGTCCCTCCCTGTATTCTCCCACAGAGTCTGCAGCGAGCGGGGCTGGAGAAGGTCAGCTTTCATCCCAACCCCAGGAAAGGCAATGCCAAAGAACGCTCAAACCACCACACAACTGCACTCATCTCACACGCTAGTAAAGTAATGCTCAAAATTCTCCACGCCAGGCTTCAACAGTACATGAACCGTGAACTTCCAGATGTTCAAGCTGGATTTAGAAAATGCAGAGAAACCAGAGATCAAATTGCCAACATCTGCTGGATCATCGAAAAAGAGTGTTTCAGAAAAACATCTACTTCTGCTTTATTGACTATGCCAAACCTTTGACTGTGTGGACCATGATAAACTCTGGAAAATTCTTAAACAGATGGGACTAACAGACCACCTGATCTGCCTCCTGAGAAATCTGTATGCAGGTCAGGAAGCAACAGTTAGAACTGAACATAGAACAATAGACCGGTTCCAAAGAGGCAAAGGAGTACGTCAAGGCTGAATACTGTCACCCTGCTTATTTAATTTATATGCAAAGTACATCATGAGAAACACTGGGCTGGAAGAAGTACAAGCTGGAATCAAGATTGCTGGGAGAAATATCAAAAACCTCAGATATGCATATGACACCACCTGCATGGCAGAAAGCAAAGAAGAACTAAAGAGCTTCTTGATGAAAGTGAAAGAGGACAGTGAAAAAGTTGGCTTAAAACTCAACATTTAGAAAACTAGGATCATGGCATCTGGTCCCATCACTTCATGGCAAATAGATGGGGAAACAGTGGAAACAGAGACAGACTTTATTTTTTGAGGTTCCAAAATCACTGCAGATGGTGACTGCAGCCATGAAATTAAAAGACGTTTGCTCCTTGGAAGAAAAGTTATGACCAACCTAGACAGCTTATTAAAAAGCAGAGACATGACTTTGCCAACAAAGGTCTGTCTAGTCAAAGCTGTAAGTTTTTCCAGTAATCATGTATGGATGTGAGAGTTGGACTATAAAGAAAGCTGAGCACTGAAGAATTGATGCTTCTGAACTGTAGTGTTGGAGAAGACTCTTCAGAGTCCCTTGGACTACAAGGAGATCCAACCAGACCATCCTGAAGGAAACCAGTACTGAATATTCATCGCAAGGAATGATGCTGAAGCTGAAACTTCAAAACTTTGGCCACCTAATGCGAAGAACTGACTCATTTGCAAAGACCCTGAGGCTGGGAAAGATTGAAGGCAGGAGGAGAAGGGGACGACAGAGGATGAGATGGTTGGATGCCATCATCGACTCAACGGACATGAGTTGAGTAAGCTCCAGGAGTTGGCAATGGACAGGGAGGCCTGGTATGTTGCAGTCCATGGGGTCGCAACGAGTCGGACACTACTGAGCAACTGAACTGAACTGAACTGTGAATTTGTAAACAGTGAATCATTTCCTCCCAGAGGAAATACAGGATTGGGTTCCTGTGAGCCTCTTCAAAACATTTTTGTCAACTGATCAATATATTAACCTTGTTTTATGTGTTTCTGTTTAAAACATCTTTTTTAATATAAATCATTGATTCATTAATGTTAAACTCATGGCCAAAAGCACTGTAACTCATGCCTGAATGCAGATTAGCTAGCATGTGCATTTTCTCTGTAAGATACATCATAGCCTTCTGATACTTAGGAACACTAGAAAGCACTTCAATATTACTCGTAGAGGCTGTTTTAAACTGTGAAATCATCAGTACAAAGTACAAAAAAGGGGAAATAATGAGGCCCTCAATAGATCACAGAAGTGATACAGGATGAGAACTGACAGAGTGCAGAGCATCGCCCTGTTTGACCTCAGCCGGGAATGTGTGTGCTGGGTGACTCAAAATCTTTTCTTGTTCTGTGCATACCTGTGAATAACTTATGAAAAGAATTATGAGTACTGATTTTAGGATACACGCAGGCAATTTTTCAGTTGTGGAATCCGAGCATGAGGATCAAATGTACAAATGCCTGAACTTCACAGACAACTGAAATCTTGGTATGAGATTCAAGATCTAAAGCTGTATTTATGCAGTACTTCCTTAGACTTTAGGAAGTATCTTGTGTTAACGCCTTGCAGAAATACAATCATGTAAATAGGGGAAAGCCATAAACACACTGGATTTACATGGGGTAATAAGGCAGATCATGTCACATCATGCTTTTGCTATTTTACCTTCAAAGACTTCAGGCGCCATCCAAGCAGCACTCCCCTTATTGTTGGTCATGTGCGTCTGAATGTCACAGGCTGTACCGAAATCGCAGATTTTTAAAACTGTACCCCCCGCAACCAGCAGCAAGCTGTTTCAAAAACAAACAAGACAGAAAATAAACAAAAACATGAATTAAAGGTTATGAGACCAGTATTTGATTCTATGATAAAAAAGGCACTTGAGGAAATAGGAATGTAAACTGTGGGCCAGCCACCTGTAACAGCTGATAATACAGAGGAATGTCGGCAAAGCTGCCTTCAAGCCAGTTCTTAGGGTGGCTGCTGGGCTCACAGTCTGATGTCTCCAACTCTACCTCCACAACCTTTCTTGCCCATGCTTCTCTCTGGGCCAAAATATGGGGTTTTAGAAAACATCTAGTAAGTGAACATCATGGTGTTCTGAAATGGGAGTGGATGGACAGCGATACCTTCATATACTGTTGGCTCCGAGACTTTATCTGCCTACCCCAGTGTTTTTTAAGGTGCAAGTAGAAACCTAATCATAAAAATTCTAGATCACATATCTGGGGACCTAGATTGCAAAACAACCCAGACGATTATGACAGCATTAAAAAAAAAATAAAATAGAAAATATCAAAGTGTATCACAACTACCAAAATTAAACATTGTTTCAGTAAAGTTCAGTTTCAGGTCTACACACATTACTATGTACACACGACAGACTGTAAAGTACTTCTTACTGTGGATCACGGTGCCAAAAGTTTCCAAACCTTCTTTGCTCTTATTAACCTTACTGTGAACAGAAATGAGTCTTTAGTTAGCCTAATGTAGCAAGGCTGCTTAGCTGTTCACTGACCCTATTTCCTTTCCTTTTTGGGTACATTTCTCAGCCTTCTGAGCAATTAGGTATGGTTATTATGACCATTCTAGCCAGTAGAATGTGATGTACTTCACCTTCAAGCCTGATCCATAAAACTCTCCTACATATACACATATATACTCCTTTTCCTTTCCCTATATGTCACTGAATGCAGAGGATTCTGACCTAAAAGGCAGACGGAGTCTGGGACATGAATCAGGAACGTTCACTTTGAACTTTAGGAGCAAAACCCACGAACCACTGAACCCATTTAGGGCTCAGTTCTCTCTCTTTTGGCTCAATGATTCCCTTGTCTTCTCACAAGATCACCTGTGCACGTAAAGGATGCTCGCTGTAAGATGGAGCACCTCTGGGTTTGCTGCTGGATGTTTTTGCAGTTTACCCAGTTTGCCATACTGCTGGAGAACCAAAACTCTTCTCACGTGAGTTTAAGAGTCAAAAAGCCACGTTACTATACGATCCCTGTGAGCACTGTCAAGAGCAGTATATGGGAATTTAAGCACGTATAGGTTACACTATACATAATGTTGCTTTATTCCCTTACCAGGATATCTTTTTCATATCATTATATACAGATACTTACATGAAGTTATAAATTCTTGGCATATAATTCTGTTAAAAATTCTAATTGGACAGATTATTTAGATTAATTTTTTTTTTAGTCCATCACGACTAAAGTAAGCCAGATAAACTACTATTCATATCTCCATAAAGTCACAAATACCTCTGTGATAATTTAAGTGGAAAGAATGCTAAGTGCAAATTACCTTTATATACACTTCAACAAACAAAAAATTTTTCCTTGTTTCACCATTGCTAAGTTCTTACTACTGTTTGCCCAAGAGAAGAATTCTGTGACTGGACTTCTTGGTTTCATCCTGGGATATCCAAAATATCACAGTAATTTTTCTGAATCACTTTTATACTATTACTACTTACAGTGAATACCCCTTTACTCGTAAGGTTTTGAATGAACTAGCAAAAGGTAACCACAGTAGGGGCAGGAGCACGAGTGGAGACTGTATGAAACACCTGACTGTATGGTCAGGAGCCTCTCTCTGTGCCGTTCTAAACACTCCTCCTGACTGCAGGCTCCACAGGCTTTCAGAGACGATAAGACAGGGCACATGTGTCTGTGTACGCAGTTATATATGAAAGCACAGCCATTCCAAAGAGTTTCCTTTCCCCCAGTACCTTCTACAAAATAAATTCTAATGATAAAGCCCAATTTGTATACTGGGTGCCCCAATTTTTCACACTACACCATGAGTCCAACTGTAAGAATGCCTGAGAGGAAGGAATGACCTAGACCGTATCTCTTGTAAATATGTTAATAGTATTTATTAGCAAAACGAGAGTCCCTAGCTGCAGATGACTTTGTAAGACCTATCTGGTCTGTCTAAATAGGTTGGTTAAATAACCCTAAAATTTATGGATTTACAGGGTGTGGCTGAAGAATGGAAGCAGGTGTTTAAGCTGTATAACTATGGAATCCAAAAGATGTTAAAAACTAAAAAACTGCCTTTTGTGAGATTACTTTAAAGTATATTGTTTAATAACTCATTTGTCATTTCAAAGCCAAACATGCCCCAGTGCAGACAGGTCTTGCATCTAATGGGTTCTGGATCCTCCAAGAAAAGGATGCTTCATGCCTCATACTTGCATCATGAAGGCCTAACACCTTCATGCCTCATCCTTTTAATCAGCCAGTTTATTCCTGGATAAGAGCTATGATTTTCACAAATTTGCTTTGATAATTCAACTCTGTGTTAATCTGGGGAGTGGGGAAAGGAGAACATAATCTCCCAAAACAGGGACCAAAAAAACTGCTTTCTTCTTTACTACCCAAGATAGGTAGCTACAACAACAATCTCGGGAGTCAAGTTAAAAAGAAGTATCATAAACCTGGGAATTAAACATTATTTGACCAAGGACCCGGGGAAACAGAAATCAGTGTAAGCCTGGAGGTGGAAATAAGGTACACCAGAGAGAATGAAGATTCCAAGAGTTGAAACCTATGCAGAGTGCATCAGGTTAGAAAGGAGAGGGAGAAGTTCTACTTGGACGGGATACTTTGATGCTTTAAATCACTGCCAAGAGAATGGAGTGCTTGTGACTGATTTCCGAGGGGAAGCCTCTTATCTGAGAACCCATGTGAGGGCCAGCAGTAGAGAACGGGCACAGGGGGATTTTTGTCGCAGGCGGATAGAAAAGGGGAAATCAGAGAGAAATGGGGACAAAAATATGTATGTTTTCTTTAACTTGAGTACCCCTGGGGGCGGGGGGGATCTCTGAAGTTATAGCCTTTAAAAATATCTATTTAGGGAATTTTGAAGTTCTTTCAGAGTCCCAGAATCTACAATATAAAGAAATCCAGAATATTTTCAGTTTCTACTCAGATGTTCCAGCAATGCCCTTTGCCTTTCTCTGAAAATGCAAATAATAACCACCCTGTGTAGTTTGGTGGAAATGTTGACTATGTGTGGACATTGTGCTTGTTAGGGATACAACAGGGAACGAGACAGGCTTGTTTCTGCTCTCATGAAACTGTTCAGGGAAACCAAAATATACTGTGAGCACAAAACAGGACGCACAGACTAACAGATTCTAGAAGGATGATAATCTAAGGTAGAAGTTATTAAAAATAAAACTGCCACTGAAGACAACGTTCTAAAATACAAGTTTAGATGGCTAAATGATGGAGGTGTGTTAAAAATAAAGAACGTTAAAAGAATAAAATTAAACATTCTTCAGCAAGCTAAAAGGGAAGAGAAAAGAAAAACTGATGTGCAATGACCAGCTTCAATTCGGGAGTGGGTGGGGAGTGCGGAGAGAGAGACCACATTATTCGAACTTACTTCGGGGGCTTCAGGTCCCTGTGGATCAGAGCTTTGGGCTGCATGCTGTGGAGATAGGCCACCCCCTGGGAGCACTGCAGAGACCAGCTCATCGCGTGGGCAGCGGTGTAGAATGGCAGCGGCTCCGCGCCGTGCAGCACTGCGGAGAGAGGCGCAAGCTAAGAAGAGCTTTAGTGCACATGACAGAAGACACCGGGGAGCACGAGCGCCGTCAGAGCCCACGGCTCGCGTCTTCCTGCAGGGCTCCCCTCGGCCCTGCTTTTCCTTCTCTTCTTGATAAAGAGACAGAAACAGCTAAAGGATTCAAATGGACAACTACCACGTAAGTACCTAACACTTAACAGAACGTCTATTAAATGTTATACATACATTCAAATACGATTAATATATATTACCACTTTTTAAAATCTCAATAGATGCAGTCTTGCACACAATAATATAAATTATAAGCAACTGATAGCATACTGTACTTTTAGAGAGATACAAAGAAACAGTATAGAAGAAAATAAAATAATGTGCATTGAAATGTTTACAATTATGCTTTCTATAATAGCTAAATACCAGAAGTAATTCAAAATAAAACACAGAAGCATTAGACAGCCATTAACAATGACAAACCCATGAGCAGTAGACATAGCTAAATAAAATGCTACATGTTATAAAAATGCTGTGACAAGAGACTATATATATGGTTGGTGTTTCTTAGAGTGAAACAGCTCTGTTGTACACAGGTAACTAAATGGATTAGCTCTATTCTGTAAAGGGAACTAAATAATACAGTTTCCTTTCATTGTTACCAGAATGTTCCACAAAGTGAACATTTTCACAAATTTACTTTTGGGGGGGAAAAAAGGCAAAATACAGCAGAATAAGGATGTGTAGTTAAAAAGGTCTAAAATGAGGAGACTGAAAGCTAAGACAAAGCAAAAAGAAAAGGTTGTAAGTATGAAGATACTTTAAAATCTATTTAAAAAGCAAGTAAATGCTTTTAATGTTATGAAGAGTACCATCAATTTAGAAGATTACTATACTTAGACGTCTAAATTTCACATACTAATGTTGTAGCCTCTTGTCTTTAGCAGATTTTTAATCTTTGGCAGATTTCGTAACTATCTCCTTTTGGGACTCTGAGGATAAATTGTGAAGAACATTAAGTAACTTACAGTTTGTATTAAAAGCTTTTCAATTATTTTATTCTAATAGATAAAGACAGGTCTAATGACACTCACCATTATACAAGGAGCCCCCTTCAGCATATTCCATTACAAGACACACCTGAAGGAAACATATGTCAGAATAATTAACCACAGAGCTACAGCATCCTAGGGAACTTGAGAGACAACTTAGATCAAACCTTGATTTTATAAATGCATTTAAAAACCATTCTTTTGGTCCCCAGTATCTGAACAGCACTAGAGGGAAAAAAAAAAGGTATCTATGATCTAAGACCTTGTCTTCTAGGGGCCCACTGTCTAAGAGTGAAGATGTATATAAAAACATAATCACCAGACCTTTGGGGATTTTTTTGCAGTGCAAATGAACAGAGGCTATCACAGGTTATTGTGAACCTCCAAAGAAGATGAGGTTACTGGATAAGACCACCCAAGACAACTCTTCCCTTACACTGTGTTGCTAATAGATTAGAAGCACACACAGCATGATTATTATTATTTTTTAGAAATAATATGACAGATCAAAACCGCTTCATAAACTGCACCGCGGCATGTATCTGCCATGTTTTCCTCACAGACAGAGTAAAATGAAGAATGGCAGACTCACTGGATTCAGGCAGGCTCCATAGAGCTTTACGATGTTAGGGTGGTTCACACGCGATAACTGTCGAAGCTGTAACGAAAAAAGGTTTCTTCTGAAAAGTGCTAACTTTAGAGGAGGTGATCTTACAGTACCACTCAAATCTTAAGGTTGTACAAAACATTAGCTTAATCATTCAACAATCAGTGTCTCCTAGGTAGCAGGCACTGTGATCGTAAGCACCTGCCCACAACGGTACAGAAGCCCCACCCTGGAGTCCTCAGTTTAGTCGTGGGAGAGATACATACAGAAATAATTAAAGCAACATGCAAAGGGCTACAACAGGAGGTATGAACAAGGCGTGAGTACAAATCAGGAGCACTTAAGTCTGCCAAGAAATGTGAGGATGTCATCCCTGAGAGGGCACCGGGCTCAGGTACCCACACCAGAGGAAGCCACGTCATCACCGCCTTCTCCAGAGCTACGGCTGAAGGAGCGCTCTATGCGGGGCGCTGGGAGCCCCTCACAGATACTGCGTAATCCTCACGACTTTGCAAGGCAGGTATGATCGTTTTCATTTTAAAGATGAGGTGCCCTGAACATAAGGCTCAGAGGAGGTTAAATGAGTTGCTAAATACCCAAAGCTAGGAAGTAGTAGAACCAGAGTTTGAATTTTGGTCTGTCTGACTTAAAATCTGCACTCTTGCCTTCTCTTCCGTCCACCTCCTATCTCCCGAGTTAATTCCCTCTTCTCAGTTCCCATTACAGCTGCCTTTGCCTTAGCAATTCCAATCTGAGCCAATGCAGTAATTACTACACAGCCTCCTTCTAACTGGTCTTGGTGCCTCCAGTTTTATCCAGCTGAATCCAAGCCAGTGATTCGTAGTGAGATCCGTGAGTGGTTTGGCTGTACTCTTGCTCTATGTTTCTCTTGCTGTCAGATCAATATTGATCTATGTCTCAGATCAATATTGACATACCCCCCAAAGTGCTCCCTGCTCTTTCTTCCCCCCTTTTCTGCTTCTCCCTCTTTCTTCCTCCTCTCCTTCCCTATTATCTGTATAATACTGCTGGGTCATATGAAGCCCAAAGGTAAACTCTTTTGCCACATGCTACTAGAAAGCTGTACTTTTCTATAGCCAACATTTCTAGATTTTTAGTTCTAAGAGACTTAATATCACCATTTATTATATTTCACCTTGTTAAGATTCTGAAGTACCGAGCTTTAGATAGCAGATTGTTCAAGCATTTACTCTTGCTCCCCCATCAAATAGTACCAAAAGAGGAAAGGTACTTTTTTTCAAGACAAACTCAGAAAGACGAAGAAAACGTGATATGAGAAAACAGCACACATTTTTGGAAGTTGGAAAGCAAATGAGTAGCAATAACTTAGGAAATGAGAAAAAGTGAGAAGCAACCAGATTTAACTCATAAAACCTCCAAAAGTTTGGGGAGTGGTGACAGTACCAGGTATCTATTCACATAAGCTATTACTAATAAAAGGGCAAAAGAGAGATCGCTTAAAATTAGGCCAAAGATTCCCTCCTTCCCTGTCTTCAAACAGCTAGTGAATGCCTCTTCATTGTCCCAAAGATTAGAGGTTGATTCTTTAGAGAAGGTATAATAATATCTTCTCTAAATATATATTTAATGCAGAGGTAAACACAGAGATAGAAATATAAAAATACCTTCTTTAGAGAAGGTGTGAGTCTCTGGATTGGGGGACATTACACAAAACTAAGGATGAGCTCAAAGTAGTTGCCTCTGAGAAGCAGAAAACTTGATGGGAGGAGATACAAGGGATTTTTAATAAAAATACATGGAGAACCATTCAACAGTTTAAATTATGTGTAACTATAACTTTGATGAAAAATTTTTTCTCCAAGCTATTATCATCTTTTTGACTAGATTCCTAGACTTTAATTCATATGATTCTATCTAGTTTTAGGAAACTGCCAATACAACAGTATCTGATCAATACCTCATTTAGACCATAAACAAAAACTGTGAATAAGGCAAGATAAAGCCAGACTGTTGGACTACAGATCATTTTTCCTCATGATGACAGCAAACCATCCATCAGCATCTCTCAGTTCATTCAATTAATTACAAAAATATACTTTATCATATTAGAACGAATTTCTCATTTCCTCATGTTATGCATTTAAAAATATCAGGAAGCATATTTTGACATTATAATTAAATAAATTCACAGATATAAATTCAGAAAGTTTATAAAGACCACTTCTGTTGGCCAATGAAGTTAAAAAGTCACAAAATCACTGATTTATTCGAATACTGTAATCTAATATATAAAACAGCATAAAAGAATGAACCAGATAGTACAAAAATCTCATAATTATCGAATTCTCCATCATCAAATCTGTAAGAGAACAGCTATAAATTTCCATGCTAAATGAGACAAGCCAATTTGACAAAATTTTTCCTTAAAATAATCTCATTCGAATTTCTTAAAGTGTTCAGTCAAAAATGAATGCATAAAATTTCCCTTCTTAACTTTAGATAATGGGAGAGATTACCATTTCTTTTCTATTTTAAAATTTAGATTCTATGCCTTGAAATAGATCTGAATTACAGGGAAGAGACTGTATTTTAATTCAAGGATGAATTCATTTGTGCAGCTACATCTCTCTTCTAATTTTTAATCAGAACTAAGAGTATGAATGAAAAAATGTTTCTATGGCATTCCCTGTAGTTCAACTCAATTGCTGATGCTGAAGAACCCAGGGAAATGACAACTGAGAGACACTCTGTTTTTCACAAACATCAAGTTCACAGTGTATCTCAGGTAAGAACCACACAGCGGAAGTGACACTCCCACTCACCTCGACGATGAAAGCTTTCCTCTCAGATTCACTTTCTATCTGTTTAATGGCGACATCTTTTGCTCTCCACTTGGCTTTGCATACTACTCCAAAAGCTCCTCTTCCAACAACCTGCGTTAAAAGCAAACAGACAAAAAAAGCCCCGTGAGAATCAGAAACAAACAGATCCAGCCCACCATTAATGCTGAAGCAAACCTGAAAGGTTAAGATTTTAGAAACCATCACGATCTGGATTTGCCACAGAGCCAGTATGAATTTTCATTAAAACAAGGAAACAATAAAAGGCACTGTCTCTCTCTTTGAAAGTTTATGGTCTAGACACCTCCTACTCTCAAAACCAAAATGAAAAAGAAAAAAAAAAAAAGACTCTTAGAGACAGAAAACAAATTAAGACAGGTAAGATGAATAAGAGGATACAGAGAAGATGGTTTGGAAAAACAAAAAATAGAAAGCAGAAACATATCAATGTTTTAAGCTCTTATATTTATGAAATTAAAAATAGCTTTTAAATAGTTCAGTGGGGTAGGCAGTAGAGGTGAAAGGACAAAAGTAGACGATAAAAGACTGGCCATTGTGAAGGACAGAGAAAACATGGCGTATTGTACACTGGAATGTCATTCTTCAAGAAAAAGGAACAAGCTACTGATCCTGCTACAACATGGATGAACCTTAAAAACACCAGGCTCCATGACAGACACAAGAGGCCACACAAGACTCCAGTTTTATGAGATGTCTGTAAAAGGCAAATCTATAGGGATAAGAAGTAGGTCAGTCGTTGTTTGGGGCTGAGAGTGGAAACTGGGAGTAACTGTACAATGGGTAGGAGGAATCCTACCAAGGAGATGAAGATGTTTGAAAACAGATTTCTGGTGATGTCTGCACAACCTAGTAAACTGTACAAATTACTGTACACTTTAAATGGCTAAATTTTAAGATATGTAAAATATATCTCATTAAAGTTATTTTTTAAGTTACAAAATAAAAACTGACCTTGTGTTGTATTATTGTTGAAGCTGACAAGTAGCTCTTGAGTTCATTCCTCTCTCAGGCTACTCTACTGATGCTTGAAATTCGTCATTATGTTAAAACAACTAAAGAACAGCTTTTGATACTTGTTAGAACAAAACCAGTCTGTTTTGTCACTGAAAATGCCTTAGTTTTGTGCCATTTGCTCCAATCTTTCAAATTTCAAAGGATCTAAGTACTTCCTTAGGTGAAAAATCTACAGTTCTCACCAATGATGTACTTTCTACGTAGTAAGCAGTGAGCTGAGAAGGAAATGGCAACCCACTCCAGTATTCTTGCCTGGAGAATCCCATGGACAGAGAAGCCAGGCAGGTCATGAGGTCACAAACAGTAAGCTAAAACTGAATCGACTTCGCATGCATGCAAGCAAATCTCTCTCATGTATCAGAAAGGAGCAGTTACATCTTCTCTTGGAGGAAGTCTTCACTTTAGGCAAACTTACATGAACAGGTACTCTTTCCAGAGTAAGAAATAGGTACTAATATCGTTAGTTGTAAGCCGAGATGTATGGCCACTCCAGCCGTAACTCACTTTAAACACTACACAGAGCAGTATGGACATTTCTCATGTTGCCCAATGTATGCTGCTAGGTCGCTTCAGTCGTGTCCGACTCTGTGCGACCCCACAGACAGTAGCCCACCAGGCTCCTCGGTCCACAGGATTCTCTAGGCAAGAATACTGGAGTGGGTTGCCATTTCCTTCTCCAACTAGGTTACGTGCTTTAGTGTATTAACATAGTTAATCCTCCTCCATTTTAAAGGTAAGTAAACTGAGTCACACAGTTGCCAAGTTGCCCAAGATCACAGGGTCAGAGAAGCCAGGATTGGAAACACAGAGGATGTGATAAACAATTCACTTTATATTCAGCCTCTGATGTCACTGCTGTTTAGGCCATATGTCGTGTCTGACCCGTCTGTGACCCTGTGGACGGGTGCCCACCAGGCTCCTCTGTTCATGCAATTTTCCTGGCAAGCCCGGGTTGCCATGCCCTCCTCCAGGGGATTTTCTCGACCCAGGGATCAAACCTGCGTTCCTGCTTGGCAGGTGGATTCTTTACCACTGAGCCACCTGGGAAGCCTGTATGTCATCAGCCTGAAGGAAACTGAGTTGTCTTGATTCTGGTGACTTTCCTTTTTCCATTCCTGGCCCTTGGTGCTTAGGGGCCTCCTGATGATAAGGCTCTAGCCCTCCTCTGTACCTCTCATAAGGCAAAGGGGTCAATGTCACTTATTTGAACTTTGCATCGTTACTTTAACATCAACAGCGATTGGCTAAACCTCGTACCACTGGAATAATGGAAAGACCACACCTAGGATCTGAAACCCAACAGATTTGAGTTTAAATATAGATCAGTCTGCCTGCTAGCTACCAATACTGGACGAGTTAATGTCTTTGAGAGTCTGTTTTCTCAACAGTAAAGGGGAGATATTTACTTTTTATTCAGCATATTATCCATAGAGTTCATAGGTCAAAATCAGACATTTTCTTACATACCACAAAAGAATAATAGGTGCTTGGAGCTGTGTATGAATCAGTTTGAGGAGTTATACTCCTTATTTCTTTCAAATTAACCACAATGAACAGCATACAGGCCCTAAAATGAATTTTAACATACGACAATATCAGGTGAAGAAAGAAAGGATGGAGAGACCAGTCTATCTGTTAAGAGTACTATGAATAACGATTGGGAAGTAATTTATTTTCCAACTATGTATTTTTAAATGGCTTCTCTGGTGGCTCAGATCCGACTCGCAAAGCGTCGGCCACAGCTGAGCAACTGAACTGACACTGGTGGCTCAGACAGTAAAGAATCTGCATCTACTGCAGGAGACGTGGGTTCAATCCCTGGGTCAGGTAAATTCCTGAAGGAATGGCTTCAGAAGGGAATGGCTAACCAATCAAGTATTCTTGCCTGGAGAATTCCAGGGACAGAGGAGCCTGGCAGGCAACAGTCCATGGGGTCACAAAAGAGTCAAACAGGACTTAGTGGATAGTAATTTCACTTTTCTTTCACTTTTCATGTATTTACAGATACACCAAAGCAACTGGTACTCAACAGGTCTCTTGTTTCATTTTGCTATTCTCAAGAATGCCCACACACGGATTTCAAACATTACACTCGTGTATCATTCATCTGTTGCAAAAACTGTGTAAGGTGTGCATGACTAACTGTGATGCACAAGTGCCACCTAGTGCTGAGAGGATGGCCAACCTGAGCCTGCAACTTGAAACCCCGAGAACAAAATGTGGGCAACTAAGGGCATGATACGGAGACGGCAACGGCACCCACTCCAGTCCTCTTGCCTGGAGAATCCCATGGACGGAGGAGCCTGGTAGGCTGCAGTCCATGGGGTTGCTAAGAGTTGGACACGACTGAGCGATTTCACTTTCACTTTTTACTTCCATGCATTGGAGAAGGAAATGGCAACCCACTCCAGTATTCTTGCCTGGAGAATCCCAGGGACGGGGGAGCCTGGTGGGCTGCCAATATGGGGTCGCACAGAGTCGGACACGACTAAAACGACTTAGCAGCAGCAACGACATAATAAACTTTCTCCCTCTCGTTCACAAAAGCAATTTTTTGGAAACACTCTGAAATATAAAACAGGCATTTCATGTAAGATAAGAGTTCATGAACTTATTAAGAAGCCTCTGCGTGCATCAGGGCCACGTGATATTTCACATGTATGGTGAAACAACAGATCTAAAATGATTAAATAAAGTCCAAGATGCCTGAGGTTGTACAGGTAAACTGAAATACATGATAGAAAAAATAACTGTTGTGAATTCAAAGGTCAGAGGCACAGAATCAGCGCTTAATGAATTACATTTCTGTGTATGTAATGATTCTGATTACTAAACTCCAGTGTGTGGAGGGGGATTTACCCACACTTCCAAGCAATCCTCAGATACCAGCTGGACAGCCTATCACGGAGCTCAATTCTGACATCATCCACCTGGAGAGAGCATCGGCTCCCACAGGTTAAGGGCTCAGTCCTGCGAGACTGTGCTGCACCCACCCTCTCCCCTCCAAAGGCTTCACGCCCTCTCTGGGCCCCCCGCCCCCAATCTCAGTGTGTTCACCCGGGAGCTCTCTGAAACCCGTCCTTCCGGGTTTCGTGGACGTGAATGATTCAGTTGCTGGCCACTGCTGACTGATTCAACCTCCAGCCCTTCTCCCCTCCCCAGAGGTCAGAGGGGCGGGGCTGAAAGCTCCAACCCTCTAATCACACTGTTGGTTCTCCCGGGTAGCAGCCCCGTTCTTAGGTGTGGTCCAAACTAACCTCAGGACATCTTTATCTCTCATCACTTACAAAATTCAGAGGGTTTTGGGAGCTGTGAGCCAGAAACTGCAGACAAAGACCAAATATATTTAAGAAATATTTTGGTCATCTGAATGGCCAAGTACGTGTGTGCTTAGTCACTCAGTCATGTCCAACTCTTTGCCACCCCATAGCCCGCAGCCCACCAGGTCCTCTGCCCATGGGTTTCTCCAGGCAGGAATACTGGAGTGGGTTCCCACACCCTCCTCCAGGGGATCTTCCCAGCCCAGGGATTGAACCCAGGGTTGCCACACTGCAGATGGGTTCTTTACCATCTGAGCCACCAGGAAAGCCCAAGAATACTGCAGTGGGTAGCCTATCCCTTCTCCAGGGGAACTTCCCGACCCAGGAATCGAACCAGGGTTTCCTGCATTGCAGGTGGATTCTTTTCATATTTCTTGTAAATCACCATATCACAGAATCAAAATGTGACTTCCCATCTTTTCAAATGGCATAAATATTAGGGGTAAAAGAAAAAATATATGAAGAATTGTTCCCTGTCTTCAAGGGTTAAAAGTGAGGTAGAGAAGAAATTCAAGACAAAACAATACACACACACTTCCCAGCTGAAAAGAGCCAGAGATGAGACTACATTGGCGGTTTTCAGGACAGACTTAGGGATTTGAGGGTAGAGAGGACTTATTTCCATGCCCCCTCCCCGTCAACTTCTCACTGAGATCTCCAGGAGAAAGCAGCCTCACAGGACAGGCTCTGCCAACATGGGGAGCTGCAGATGAGTTAAGTGTGGTGAAGGAGACAGTC